CTTTGCGTTGGGCCATTTTAATATGTTCAGACCATATAAAAAGACGGCAAATATAAATACCTCCATTTATATCTCCGAAATGATCCAATAATTACCCCCACACCATGTAATAAAGGTGAATATTGTCTCTTTATGGGAGGCCCTGCCCAGTATAAATCTATGAGTGAATTACGTGTTTACCACCTCTGCTGGGAAACCTGTCCCCTATTCTAACACTTCTTCATTTGACAGATTTTGCCTAATTTTTGCAGCTGATTGGTTGTTTGAAATTCCTAGTAAACGTGATTCCTTCCAGCCCTGGAGCTGGGATTTGGTGGAATTAAGAGGGATTTGTAGTACTTACTGCGAAGATGAGGTTTATAGTGTGAAATCATATATTACAGAGTGCTTGGTACTAATTGCAGGATAAAAGCTAATAATAAACTGTAAAAATCCCTGTATCATGATAATTGGGTGGAACGCTAATAATATAGCGGGAATTATAATAAGAGAGTGAGAGAGACAGTCAGAGAGACAGACAGACAGACAAAGAGAGAGAGAGATATATACTGATGGCATTGAGAAAGACAGACAGGAAGAGAGAGAGAGAGAAAACATGAGATAGAGAGAAGGGTAGCTTTTGAACAGCGAAAGACAAAAAGAGAGATAGAAAGATAGACAGAGAGAAATAGATATCTGGTAAATAGAGTGTGGTAAAAGATGCCCTCGCATATAGATAGATAGATAGATACTGGATAGATACTGGATAGATAGATAGATACTGGATGGATAGATAGATGGATAGCTAGATACTGGATAAATAGATGGATGGATAGATAGATAGATGGATAGATAGATGATAGATAGAGCGATAGATGCTGGATAGATAGATAGATGGAAGGATGGATAGACAGATACTGAATAGATGGATAGATAGATAAATACTGGATAGATAGATAGATACTAGATGGATAGATACTGGATTGATAAATAGATTGATACTGCATAGATAGATAGATACTGTATAAATAAATAGAGAGAGAGAGGGGGAGAGACAGACAGTAAGAGAGACAGACAGTGAGAGAGACAGAGGCAGACAGAAAGCGAGGCAGACAGAGAGAGAGAGGGAGAGACAGACAGAGAGCGAGGCAGACAGAGGGGGAGAGACAGACAGAGAGCGAGGCAGACAGAGGGGGAGAGACAGACAGAGAGCGAGGCAGACAGAGAGTGAGAGAGACAGAGAGAGGGAGTGGCAGACAGAGAGCGAGGCAGAGAGAGAGAGAGAGGGGGGAGAGACAGAGAGAGAGCGAGGCAGACAGAGGGAGAGAGAAAGATGCTACAGAGGAGATAAGTGAGAGTTACTGAAAGGCTATAAAATCTGGGGAGAGGTCTGCATTGGCTCCCCTCTCCCACTAGTGGATGGATAGATAGATAGATAGATACTGGATAGATGGATAGATAGACAGATAGATAGATAGATACTGGATAGATGGATAGATAGATAGATAGATAGATAGATAGATAGACAGACAGATACTGGATGGATTTATAGATAGAAATATAGATTATATATATATATATGTGTGTATGTATATATATATATATATATATATATATATATATAGAGAGAGAGAGAGAGAGAGAGACAGATACTAGATAGATGGATGGATAGATAGATATATACTAGATAGATACTGGGTAGATAAATAGACAGACAGTTAGAGAGATAGATACTGGATAGATGGATGGATAGATAGATACTGGATAGATAGATAGATAGATAGATAGATAGATAGATAGATATATACTGGATAGATAGATGATGGATAGATAGATAGATACTTGATAGATAGATACTGGATGGATAGATAGATACTGGATAGATGGATAAATGGATGGATAGATAGATAGATACTGGATAGATAGATAGATACTTGATAGATACTGGATGGATAGATAGATACTGTATAAATAAATAGATAGATACTGGATAGATAGATACTGGATAGATGGATAGATAGATACTGGATGGATGGATAGATAGATAGATAGATAGATAGATAGATAGATAGATAGATATAAATATAGATTATATATAGATAATGGATAGATGGATAGATAGAAACTGAATAGATAGAAACTGGATAGATGGATGGATAGATAGATACTGGATGGATAGATGGATGGATAGATAGATAGATAGATAGATAGATAGATAGATAGATACTGGATAGATAGATAGATAGATAGATAGATAGGTAGATACTGGATAGATATATACTAGATAGATAGATATATAGATAGATACTGTACAAATAGATAGATAAATATATACTGGATAGATGGATGGATAGATAGATAGATAGATAGATAGATAGATAGATACTGGATAGATAGATGGATAGATAGATACTGGATAAATAGATGGATGGATAGATAGATGGATAGATAGATACTGGATAAATAGATGGATGGATAGATGGATAGATAGATGATAGATAAATAGAGTGATAGATGCTGGATAGATAGATAGATGGAAGGATGGATAGATAGATACTGGATAGACAGATAGATACTGAATAGATGGATAGATAGATAAATACTAGATAGATAGATACTAGATGGATAGATACTGGATGGATAAATAGATTGATACTGCATAGATTAGATACTGTATAAATAAATAGAGAGAGAGAGGGGGAGAGAGAGACAGTAAGAGAGACAGACAGTGAGAGAGACAGAGGCAGACAGAAAGCGAGGCAGACAGAGAGAGAGGGAGAGACAGACAGAGAGCGAGGCAGACAGAGGGGGAGAGACAGACAGAGAGCGAGGCAGACAGAGAGTGAGAGAGACAGAGAGAGGGAGTGGCAGACAGAGAGCGAGGCAGAGAGAGAGAGAGAGGGGGGAGAGACAGAGAGAGAGCGAGGCAGACAGAGGGAGAGAGAAAGATGCTATAGAGGAGATAAGTGAGAGTTACTGAAAGGCTATAAAATCTGGGGAGAGGTCTGCATTGGCTCCCCTCTCCCACTAGTGGATGGATAGATAGATAGATAGATACTGGATAGATGGATGTATAGATAGATACTGGATAGATAGATAGATAGATAGATAGATAGATAGATAGATACTTGATAGATACTGGATAGATAGACAGATAGATAGATAGATACTTGATAGATAGATACTGGATAGATGGATAAATGGATGGATAGATAGATACTGGATAGATAGATAGATGATGGATAGATAGATACTTGATAGATACTGGATGGATAGATAGATAGATACTGTATAAATAAATAGATAGATACTGGATAGATAGATACTGGATAGATGGATAGATAGATACTGGATGGATGGATGGATAGATAGATAGATAGATATAAATATAGATTATATATAGATAATGGATAGATGGATAGATAGAAACTGGATAGATGGATGGATAGATAGATACTGGATGGATAGATGGATGGATAGATAGATAGATAGATAGATAGATAGATACTGGACAGATAGATAGATAGATAGATAGATACTGGATATATAGATGGATAGATAGGTAGATACTGGATAGATATATACTAGATAGATAGATAGATAGATAGATACTGTACAAATAGATAGATAAATATATACTGGATAGATGGATAGATAGATAGATACTGGATAGATGGATAGATGGATAGATAGATACTGGATAGATAGATAGATATATACTGTACAAATAGATAGATACATA